ATTCGACCCACCGTGCATGACGTTTGTTGAGCAATTGTTGACCCTTTATGTGCTTGAGAGACTCGTGGTCGGTATGAATGACGAACTCTTTCGGCCATAGATAGTGTTGCCACGTTTGTAGTGCTCGGACCAACGCGTAAAGCTCCTTGTCGTAAGTCGGATAGTTGAGTGTCGCTCCTCCTAGCTTCTCGCTAAAGTATGCTATGGGCTTATGATCCTGCATCAAAACAGCTCCAATACCTATCCCGGAGGCATCACACTCAATCTCAAAAGTTTTCATAAAATTAGGAAGAATTAAAACGGGAGAATTAGTGAGCTTCTCTTTCAAGGCTTGGAAGGCGTTTTCTTGTGCATCTTCCCACTTGAATCCAACGTCCTTCTTGATAACTTCCGTAAGAGGGGCGGCAATGGTGCTGAAATCTTTGACAAATCGTCGGTAAAATCCCGCTAAACCGTGAAAGCTCCTTACTTCGCTCACATTCTTAGGGCTCGGCCATTCTCGAATCGCCGTGACCTTTTCTTCATCGACCTTGATTCCATCTGCACTTACAACAAAGCCTAGGAAAACAAGATTATCCGTGCAAAAGGTGCACTTCTTAAAGTTCGCATATAGCTTTTCCTTTCGAAGCAAATCCAAAACAAGTTTAAGATGCATGACATGATCTTCCAAGTTTTTGCTATAAACCAAGATGTCATCAAAATAAACAACAACAAATACTCCAATATGCTTCCTAAGGACATGATTCATCAATCTCATGAAAGTGCTAGGTGCATTTGTTAACCCAAATGGCATAACTAACCATTCATACAATCCTTGTTTCGTTTTAAAAGCCGTTTTCCATTCATCACCTTCCTTCATCCGGATTTGATGATAACTACTTTTAAGATCAATTTTTGAAAAGATGCTAGAACCATGCAATTCATCAAGCATATCATCTAATCGAGGAATAGGGTGGCGATACTTAACCGTGATATTATTGATGGCTCGGCAATCCACGCACATGCGCCAACTTCCATCTTTCTTTGGTACAAGTAAAACCGGAACGGCACACGGACTCATGCTTTCTCGAATATGACCCTTGTCCATAAGCTCGTTCACTTGTTTCTCGAGTTCTTTTGTCTTGGTCGGGTTGGTGCGATAAGCTGGTCGGTTTGGTAGGGCGGCTCCCGGGACGAAGTCAATTTGATGCTCGATCCCTCGGATGGGTGGTAAACCTATGGGATTATCTTCCGGAAAAACGTCCTTATATTCTTGCAAAACCAACTTGATCTTACTCGGTAGCACTGGTTCGGGATTACTTGAACAAGTAAGAGTTTCTTTGAAAATAAAGAGTAAACTATTTTTGTGATTTACCTTGTTCTTACCCTTGGTATCGTTTGGTTCGGTTGATTTGATGGCTCGTTGTTTCATACTTAGCTGGTCTAAATAGACTTCATGCGGAGTCATCGGGATGAGAGTTGTCTTTCGGCCATTGTGTTCGAAGGTCTGCCGGTTGGTGAAGCCATCGTGAAGAACTCTTCGATCCGATTGCCATGGTCATCCGAGAAGAATGTGACTAGCGTCCATCGGTAGAATGTCGCACATGATCTCATCTTGATACTTCCCAATTGAAAGAGGTACCTTGACTTGTTCCTTGACGGACATCTCACCGGTGTCGTTGAGCCATTGGAGTGAATACGGTCTCGGGTGTTCAAGCACTTCTAAACCAAGCTTCTCGACCATACTCCTGCTTGCAACGTTAGTACAACTACCACCATCAATAATCAAACTACATACCTTTTCTTTGACGAGGCAACGTGTATGAAACAAATTTTCCTTTTGCGCTTGTTCCTCGGCTTTAGTTAGAACACTCAACGATCTTCTCGCAACAAGCAATTCTCCTTTAATAGGGGCTTCCATATCTTCTTCTATTGAGCCTTCTTCCGAACGATCATCTTCGGATTCTACTTCGCCATTGTCTCTAAGAACCATGATACTTTTGTTGGAACATTCGCTCGCGTAATGCCCAAGTCCTTGACACTTAAAGCATCGGATATCTCTAGCCCTCGTGATTACTTCCTTACCCTTTGCTTTTGGATCTAGATCGACCTTTGGCTTGACGAACGGCTTGTAATCCTTTTGATAACCGAGCTTCTCTTCCTTTTGGTAACTTGGCTTTCCCGGGCTGTAGCTGGTCTTGGTGTGACTTGATCGGGCGTTCCTTCTCTTGATTTGCTGCTCGAACATAACCGGTTTGTGAAGCATCTCCTCAAGCTCCACATAATGTTGAGTTTCTAGACGATCTTGGATTTCTCGGTTAAGACCTCCCATGAATCGAGAGATGACCGCTTCTCCATCTTCTTGAAGATCGGCTCTTAACATAAGGGTTTCCATTTCCTTAAAGTACTCCTCGACGGTCTTGCTTCCTTGAACCAAATTCCTCAACCGCTGATGTAGTTCTCGATGATAGTAACTTGGCACAAATCTTTTTCGCATGACGGCTTTAAGCTGGTTCCATGTGTCGATCGGATAGTCTCCGGCACGTCTTCGGCTAGTGACAAGTTGATCCCACCAACTTAGGGCATAGTCGTAGAATTCAGTAGCCGCAATTTTAACCTTATTGCACTCAAGACTTTCTTGACAAAGAAAGACCAACTCAATTTTCTGCTTCCATTCCAAATAAGTATCCGGGTTGTTGGTTCCATGGAATGCGGGAATTTTGAGCTTTAGGCCTCCCAAAGGATCTCTAGGCGGTGCTCTCTCTCGGCGACACCTACGTTGGCTGCTGTGGGAAGAGGCGTGACTATAGTAACTCCTTGCCTCATCATTTTGCCTTGGTTCTTCATGCCGTGGTTCTTCTTTCCTTTGACATTGATTTGGTTCCGGGTTGACTTGATGCAAGTGTAGCGCACCAATCTTTTCCTCAATCATCGTTGCCATGGCGGTGGTGACTGATTCCAAAATCCTCTTCTCAAGACTAGATGTGGATGACTCTTCTTCTTCTTCACTTGTCACCATTGTACCTGAAAAATCAAAAATTTAACAAGTAAACAGTCCAAAAACAGACAAATTTAAACGAATCTGGAAAAATAGTAAATTGACTCTAAAAATTCCGAAATTAATTTTAGAAAATCATAGACTCTTCACTGGTTGTAACGCAATTGGTTTCAGAATTTTTGAACAAGCCAATTATTTTATAAAATTCACGCAATATTGAAACAAAAATCAGAAAAACGGAAATTTCGGGATGGAACTTCAAAACCTGGTTACAAAGTGGCTTTGATACCACATGATAGACTCCTTGCCGTGGATCTATCCTCCAAGGAACACTTTGATGTTTTTGAAATGGATGTGGCGAGATTGATGGTGAATGATGGATAGATCTTGAACAAAACAGCGGAATGACGATGAATGAGGGTAATGACGAGATAGAGTGGATGCAGCGGAATGAAGGGGAGAATGAGGTGTACTTCCAAGAGGGATGAGAAACTCTTAGATTACAAGCTTGTATCCAACTTAGATATTACACACTAAGAAGAAAACAAGTTGAAAAGATATTACACACTTTTCGGATCAAACAAGTAAAGAGAGAGTTTTAGAATAAAATGTTTGATGTTTTGCAAATGAGAGATACATGGAGTTTATATAGAGAAAGGAGGACGAAGGAGAGGAGAGAAGACAAGAGAAAACATGCAAGAGCATGCACAAGTGTCTTGTAAATTACACTCATGCAAGCTCATGCAAGAGTCTTGGAAATAACAACAAGTAATAAATGCAAAGTTTGAAGAGAAAAGGGAAAATGGGCCAAAGCTTTGTGAGTGGGCCTTGAACCATGAATTGGATTGATAAAGGGGCTTGAAAATGTTACTTAAGCCTCATTAAAAACTTTGTCAAGAAAACCCATTGGGACAAAACTTGACAAGGGAAAAAGAGTGCATAAGCAACACTTAACCCTTTACCGATCCTCTTGAGCCGTGATCACTATGAGTGAGGATTGAACAACATCTTCTTGATTCTTGTTTAGCTCCTTAAGTAATCCATTTATGGCTTGGTTGAACTTCTTGGCTCTTGATCTTGTTAGAGGACCCGCCGGGACGATCAATGCTTCCTCCGGTACAAGCTGTTGTTCGTGTGGTTCAAGTGGGTTGGCCATGATCTCATCACTTCTGTCTTTTCCACCATTACTCTCTCCATCTGTCTTCTCGACCATCAATCTTCATTCTCTCTCCTCCGCCATTACTTAGCCTTCTGTCTTCTCCACCATCACTCTCTCTTCTTCTCGACCATCACTCTTCACTCTCTCTTCTCTACCATCACTCTCCATTCTCTCTTCTCCACCATTACCCTCTCTTCTCCACCATTACTCTCTCTTCTCCACCATCTCAACCCGATTGATATGGATTCTTACAATCCATATCATCACTCATCTTCTTACATAGACCTTCTTAACAGTCAATAAGATTCGCAAAACCCAGACAACTCCTCTTTTGAGACTTTTCCTCCAGCTGCTATCAACCTTGAGTCAGATTTACCAACTTGGTCTTCACAACATTCTGCTGGTACTGGTATATCTCAAGATGCACCAGTGGTAAGCAAAAGGAGAAAGAAATGGAATCCTCAAGATGATAAAGTTCTAATAAGTGCATGGCTCAACACACCTAAAGATTGTATAATTGGGAATCAGCAGAAGGGTGGTAGTTTTTGGCAGAGGGTAGGAGAGTATTATGCAAACTCTCCTACTTCCACAGAGAGTGGAGAACTAGGGCTCAATGTGAGTTGTAAACAAAGGTGGCACAAGATAAACGAGTACACAAACAAGTTTTGTGGATGTTATGCAACAGCTGAGAGGCAGAATAGCAGTGGCCATTCTGATACTGACGTGCTTAAGGTGGCGCATGAAATTTATTATTCTATTTACAAGACAAGGTACACGATGGAACATTGCTGGTGCTTGTTGAGGTTTGAGCAGAAATTTCTCAATCTCAACACTATGAATTCCCCTACACCAACAGGCAGAAGCAAGAGGAAACCTCAAGAAGAAGAGAGCTCACAAACAGCAGACAGCAATGTCCCAGAACCTGAGGTTAGACCTGAAGGAGTGAAGGCTGCTAAGGCAAGGCTGTGACTGATTATAAGAGTATGTGGGATATCAAGAAAGAGGAGATGGCTGAGACTGAGAAGCTTCAGAAGTTGGCAATACTTGACACACTTTTGGCTAAGAAGGAACCACTTAGTGGAGTTGATGAAACTATCAAGAACAAGATAGTGGCTCAGTATTTCTGAGTTCTTGTTGCTGTATTGCCATCTTATTTCATATCTATCTAAGTTATTTCATAAATGGTTTGGTATCTGTTAGTATCTAAGTTGTTCTTTCTGATTAAGTATAAAGTGTATCTCGGATTTGATTGTGTTTCTATGTTCTGTAATCTGATCATGTATCAACCTTATGATATATATGAAACGTTTTATCATATATGTTATGATTTCATTCTATCTCGATAGAGATTGGATTACTTGTTTGCTTCTGAGACTGTATTTGCTAATGTTGTTGTGAATACTAGGATTGGTTGTGAAGTTTCAGAGTCTGTATTTGGTTTGTATTTGCTAGATCATGTATTGGTTGTGAAGTTTGTGAGACTGTATTTGGTTTGGTTGTTGATAGATCATAGATTGCTTGGCAAGTTTGTGAGACTGTATTTGGTTTGGTGGTTGATAGATCATGGATTGCTTGTGAAGTTTGTGAGACTGTATTTGGTTTGGTTGTTGAAAGATCATGGATTGATTGTATGCTTCGGAGACTGTATTGAGATTGCTTATGTTGTTGTCACTACTCGGATTGCTTGTGAAGTTGTCTTTGACTGTATTTGCTTTGTTTGGTTATGATAATTGGTCATTCTGATAGTTGTCTTCTTCCTGTTTTGTGAGGTTTAAACACTTATGGACCACGATTATAGCTATTCACAGCCGGATTCATCAGATGAGTATGATGTGGAAGAGGATAGTGAAGACAACTTAAGGGATGCTTTAATCCGTATGGATGAAGGTGAAAGTTGTTTCACCAATGAAAGTTGTTTCACCAATGAAAGGGCGATTCTAATGGATGAAGCAGAGACAAGATTCATAGAGGCTCAGAATAGTCAGTACCCTCCTCAACCGAGAGTGAGTTTGGTATCCCAAAAGTGTGCTATTGTGGTGGTGTACCGATCCTATCCACTGCCTACAACAACAATGCTAGAGGAAGAATGTATATGTGCCTAGACCCTTCTGATTTTTAACCACTTGGTATTTTTAACCATTTCTGATTTTTAACCACTTCTGATTTTACAGGTACTTTACATATAACAATGTGGAAGATGGAGAGATGCACATCCACAAATGGTGGGAAGATGCAGTCATGGAGGAGATGAGAGATAAAGATAGATTGTTAGAACATCTATCTTCTCAGGTAGATAGTTTAAACTATATTTCTGCAACTAACAGTGAGGAGAAGATAGTTAAGTCAGAGAAAGTAGTAGGAGATCTATTAGAGAACATCAATAGGTCTAGAAATGGGTTTACTTTGGTAATATGTGTAATGGATTTTCTTGCTTTACTACTAGCTTCCTTTGTGTATAGGTTTAATGGCTAAAACGGATGAGACTGATTTGGTATTTTTCCTTTTGTAAACAGACTGTCTGTTGGTGAATCTTAGTTTGTAGTCTGTTGTATTGGATGAGACTGATTTGGTATTGTGTATGTTGTAAACGAGACATGAGAATATTATTCTTAACTTAAAGTTTTCGTTACAAGAAAGTGATTATTCTTCTCTTCAACTTGTTGTGTATGTCTGTCATTTCGATATCTCATATGACTCTTCTGTAATAGTTGTTGTGTTTGTGACGAGAAATGTATAGGATTCTTGTCTTTCTGATCATAAAGTGAATCGTATTCTTTTCTTAAACTTGTTGTATTTTTGTTGTCAAAGTGAATCGTATTCTTCTCTTAAACTTGTTGTATTTGTGTTGTTAAAGTGAATCGTATTCTTCTCTTAAACTTGTTGTATTTGTGTTGTTAAAGTGATATGATTCTCCACCATACCATACAACGTTGGGTCTATATAAATGCAACGGAGAAGAGAACAAATCCTCACAACTTCAAGTCAATTTTATACAAACATTTTTCTCACAACTTCAACTCAATTTTATACAAACATTTTTCAAAGCTTTGGGTCTTCCTTCTCCCCTTTTACTTTTGCTCTTAAATTAAACCTTCTTAATAAGGCTTCATCAAAGGTTGATTTTTTTCCTTTTTTAACTTCTACTCTTCATCTCAAAACTGAAATGGCATCATCTTCAAATCATTACCACTACCAAAGAGATGAGGATGATCCATTTGATGCATATTATAGAAATTTTCAAGAAAATTTAAATCTCTTGCAAGAACCAACCGAGCGAAAAAAACGAGTTTTCATTGAGAGAAACCGAGAAGAAGGGCACAATAAGGGTTGGAATGATTATTTTTCTGACACTCCAACATACCCCCACAATCTTTTCCGCCGACGTTTCCGCATTAAAAAATTATTGTTTATGCGTATTGTGCAACGTTTATCTGACGAAGTACAATATTTCCAACAAACCGAGGATGCTACCGGACAGGCAAGTCTTTCACCAATACAAAAATGTACTGCAGCAATTCGTCAATTAGCATATGGTGGTGCGTGTGACACGGTAGACGAGTATATACGAATAAGAGCTTCAACAGCTCGAAAATGTTTGCACCAGTTTTGCGCTGGAATCATCGAATTGTATGGGGATGAGTACTTAAGACGTCCCACACAAGAAGATCTACAAAGATTACTCTATCAAAATGAACAACGTGGATTTCCCGGGATGGTTGGGAGCATTGCCTGTATGCATTGAGAATGGAAGAATTGTCCCACAACTTGGAAAGGCATGTATGCACGTTCTACCGGAAAACCTACAATCGTGTTGGAGGCGGTTGTTTCATATGACCTATGGATTTGGCATGCATTCTTTGGAGCTCCAGGTACTATGAACGATCTTAATATTCTGTATCGATCTAATGTTTTTGATGACATTATAAACGGTCAAGCTCCGGAAGTGATTTTTTTGGTCAACGGAAGGGAGTACAACTTGGCGTACTATCTCACTGATGGCATTTATCCTAAATGGGCCACTTTTGTTCAATCTATCCGACTTCCACAAGGTATGAAAAATTCACTTTTTTCTAAAAAACAAGAAGCTGTGCAGAAATATGTTCCGTTATTAAAAAACCGTCTCCTTTATGGGATAAACATAAAATGGCTAATGTTATACGAGCTTGTATAATACTCCATAATATGATTGTGGAAGATAAACGACATACATACAGTCTCCGTAACCTTTCTGAATTTCAACACGGAGAAGATGTTAATTAATCATATACCGTTGGTACCTGAAACATGTATTTTTGTACCCTTGGAGTTCAATTCCCCTTAGCGTTGCAGCATAAGAGGTATCGATCCAGATGGAGGAATTGCAAACACTTAAGATAAAACAGATCTAATCAAGTCAAGCCAAGCAGTTCAGGGGGTTGGTTTAACAAACTCAAAAGCAATAAAGTAAACTAAAGAAGCAGAATTTAAAGCAGTAAATAAATGAAAGAACCCATCCCATTTTTTTTCTTTTTAACATGCGAACAATCCGGATTAACCCATTTAAAGCAAACCAGACAATCTCACTAACACAACCAATTCAACGTAACCAGCGGAAGACTTAAACAAAAATCCAATCAAACAATTCCATTAATCCAACAAATTCAACTATTATTATTCCAGAAACGGATTCATCCTAACATGCTTCTAAATTCCATCCTAGCATCCTAACAAATCCTACAATCATCTAAACACCAATGAGCGCCTAGATCATCCTCCTCTCCTCGCCATGATTCCACGGATCACACTTTGCTTTTACCTGCATCAAAGAAGAGATGCATAAGTATTTCATAAATACTTAGTGAGGCAATCATCCCACCACTGGCTATACACACAAGCAGAAATGAACACATTCAAGTATAACTCAAACAACCACCAATGCAACGCAAAACAACACAACATGACCCGTTCTGACGAGCAGTGTCGATCGACACCATCCGCTGGTGTCGCTCGACACTCGCGACCATCCTCGCGAGAAAGAAAGTTGGTGTCGATCGACACCCTCCCTTGGTGTCAAGCGACACCGAAACCCTAACATCGCTCCAGCCGCTTCTCATCGACGAATCCACCAACTCCAGG